ATAAAGAGTTTCTTTCTTTTTTTCCGTTCAATTTTTGTATTTTTCAAAATTTTAGATAAAGAGTTTCTTTCTTTTTATTATGTTCAATTTTTGTATTTTTCAAAATGTTAGGTAAAGAGTTTCTTTTTTTATTTTATTTTCAATTTTTGTATTTTTCAAAATGTTAAAGAGTTTCTTTCTTTTTTTTATGTTCAATTTTTTTATTTTTCAAAATGTTAAAGAGTTTCTTTCTTTCTTTTTTTAATAGAGAATTCTGCCTAAGGTTTCCAAAATACATAATTGCTCAGCATGACGTGGCCATTCGGCTAATCGTGCCTCTGTATTTTGCAGCCTCCCCTCGTTCAGCTTTCTGCTTCTGCCCTCCTTTTTTCAGGAGACTACGCTGGATTTCCCGGCTGTGGGTTGCTGCGATTACACAGCACCTACAGACACGACCTGAAGATCTACGCCTCGGACGAGGGACGCGTGCAGATGACCGCCGCCGCCTTCGCTAAGGTGCCGCTACGCTAACCCCTCGCCTAAAAACTGAGGGGATTCTGTCCTGCAGCCCCCCGATAGCCACCGAGCAACAAAATTAAGGATTATTTGGGAAAACTTCCTTCATCTATGTGAGGAATACAGAGTAAAACTGGTTAAAAGAGGCTGGAATCATCAGTGAAGCTCACAGAAAAGATCAGTTCACACAATTAGCTTTTAGCTTTTTAGCATTTGGTTCCTATTTGTGTGTCTTTTTAGTGTAACAAATAATTAATAATGACAAAAAAGACTTAATGTATGTGAGAAATACAGAGCAAAACGGGTTAAAAGAGGCTGGAATCATCAGTGATGCTCGCATAATAAATCAGTTCACATAATTAGCTTTTAGCTTTACAACATTTGGTTCCTGTTTGTGTCTTTTTAGTGTAACAAATAATTAATAATGACAAAAAAGACTTCATGTATGTGGGAAATACAGAGCAAAACCGGTTAAAAGAGGCTGGAATCATCAGTGAAGCTTCAGAAAAGATTAGTTCACATAGTTAACTTTTAGCATTCCAGCATTTGATTCCTGTTTGTGTGTCTTTCCTTTTTAGTGTAACAAATAATTAATAATGACAAATAAATCTGTTTATTTATTTATTTAGATATAAGTGAAGATCTACAAACAAGTCTTCTCAAAAAACAGATTAAACTTAGTGTCTCAAAATTAAAGCAAGTACAAAAAAAGGATATTCATAAGAAATTGACTAAAGAATAGCAAAATAGTAAAAAAAACAATTTATTGAGTAATTATGAACAATCCTTAAAGAAAAAACACTTTAAACCAGTAAAAAAAAAATTCACGTTTTGTTTATCACCAACTGGAATTAAATTGTTGATCAATGAAATTGAAAGAATTCAGTTCTCTTTATCTGCCGTAAATAAACCGCATTTGATCACATCTTAGACTTAGACTTGGCTTTATTTATCCCTTTATTTACTCCTTCAAGGAAATTCTGGTTCCAGTAGCTCATGTAGAGGTCAAAGGCCAGAGTTAAAGCAAGATGCCATTAAAGATAACCATTGAGTTGTTATCAGAGTAAATCCCTGTTCAACATGAGTCTGACAACTAAGTAAGAAGATAAATAACTTTAGACTTTAGGACAGGCTCTGATAGGCCGACAGTTTTAGCCTAAAATGTTTTAAATTGACAGTTTTTACCCTAAAAAGTTGCTAAATGTACTTGTTTTTAAACCATAAAACTTCCAAAATCTAATTTTTTTTCCCTAGAATTTGAAAAAATCTGTTTCTCCTATCCTACAATGTGCCTTATTTACAGTTTTTACCCTAAAATATTCAAAAAAAATTTACCATAAAATATGCTAAATTGATTTTTTTTTCCGGGAAAATGTGAGTAAATCCCTATTCAACATGAGTCTGACAACTAAGTAAGTATATAAATAACTCTAGACTTTAGGACAGGCTCTGATAGGCCGGGCTGTGTCTCCTCTGTGTGTGCAGGGCCTGCTGGCTCTGGAGGGCGAGCTGACCCCCATCCTGGTGCAGATGGTCAAGAGCGCCAACATGAACGGGCTGCTGGACAACGACAGCGACTCTCTGAGCGGCTGCCAGCACCGCGTCAAGGCCCGGCTGCACGAGATCATGCAGAGGAACCAGGAGTTCAGCGAGGACGACTACGACACGGTGAGCCCCCCCCTTCCTGGTTAGGGTCAGTATGGGCTAAGTCCAGAGACCAGGCTCCCACATCTGGATCCCATCGGTATCCAGCCGATATTCCCCAAAAAATTACTCCAGATCCAGTTTTTCTTTTTTTTAAAGTCCCATCCCTGTTTTCCAACACACAGATTAAAATAATGTAACCATGTTTTATCCTAAAATGTGCATTATTTATAGTTTTTACCCTAAAATGTGCTAAATTA